AGGAAATTTTTCTTAATAAATGCTTATGATATAATGTTAACCAAACGAAAAAAATGAATACAAAGTTGCATATACAGTAGTCTCTCAATTTTACAAGATAATATGTCTAGAAGGAGACACCAAGATGTTAATAATGGCTGTCTTCAAGAAGTAGAATTATGAGTTATTTTTAAATTATTTCATCCATTCTTGGTTTTCCTCAGCTTAGATATAACCATAGGACTCTATAATTGGGACATTTTAAGTACTACTGCAGTAACAAATTATTTCAAACAGATTTTTGGACTGTTTTGAAAATGGGTAACAGAAGGGGAAGTGGGAGATAAAAGAAGCAATAATAGCTTTCTTTTCTTTGCTGAACTACTAGGACTTCCTGCCCTGGTTCTCTGAAATAACTTGTTTTTTACGCTGAGTTCTATATCTGTCCCAGTCTTTAACTAGTATGCTATGCATTTTCAAATGCTATGGGGATAATAATCTATAGAACACCTGGCATTGTACATTAGGAATATCAAGATTATGAGTTAAATCTTCAAGAAATTATCTGAAATCGACTATTAAAAATTGAAAACAAAATACTATGAGGACAAAGGGTCACATTACAGATGTTAACAAATTATTTCAAACAGATTTTTGGACTGTTTTGAAAATGGGTAACAGAAGGGAAAGTGGGAGATAAAAGAAGTAATAATAGCTTTCTCTAGGACAGCACTGGCTCCAGACTGTCAATTATTCACTTGAATATCCTTGTATAATTGTCTAACAAACCTATGATATTCCAAACAATGTTTCGTCTTGAGGATAAACCATAGCAATTTATGACTCACACCTGGGGTTTAGATTACACTACAGAAGTCAGTAGAGAGTTGATGAAATGGTAATGATATACTCTAAGGCAGTGTGCCTCTAGTTTTAATGTGCATACATATCATACCTGGCAATCTTGTTAAAGTACAGATTATGATTCAGTAGGTCTGGGTGGGGCCTGATTCCTGCATTCTTCACAAGCTCTCAGGTCATAATGATGCCACTACCATCGTCACGGATCCTTGTACTAGCAAGGATCAAAGGGATACCACTGGCATCCCCAGTTGAGCAGGGTCCTCACCAAACAGTCTCTCATTTAGGTACCAGGATCTGGCCCTTTACTCTGAAAGAGCAGAGACTTGTTTTTGTTAATGCCCTGAGCGGCAATGACTCATACCAATTAAAAGGCACATGAAGGCCACTACATTCATTTTATAGAGTGAAATATAACTGTACACATATTAGAGCAGGGGTGGGCAAACTTTTTGACTCGAGGGCCACAATGGGTTCTTAAACTGGACCGGAGGGCCGGAACAAAAGCATGGATGGAATGTTTGTGTGAATTAATATAAATTCAAAGTAAACATCATTACATAAAAGGGTACGGTCTTTTTTTTTTTTTTTTAGTTTTATTCATTTCAAACGGGCCGGATCCGGCCCGCGGGCCATAGTTTGCCCACGGCTGTACTAGAGTATTGGTATTTCTCACTGTAGGCACCTCTAGTACCTCCAACGAATCCCCCTCTGATAATATACAAAGATGACATTTCTAAACCTGCAAAACTGAGGATGAGGACCTGAATAGTGGCAATGTCATCAAGTTGATGCCACTCTACCCTAGCCGGTTTGGCTCAGTGTATAGAGTGTCTGCCAGTGGACTGAAGGGTCCCGGATTCATTCTGGTCAAGGACATGTACCCCTCCCTGGTCAGGGTGCCTGCAGGAGGCAACTAATCAATGTGTCACTCTCACATTGATGCTTCTCTCTCTCTCTGTCTCTCCCCTTCCCTTCCACTCTCTCTAAAAATCAATGGAAAAATGTCCTCGGGTAAAGATTAACAACAATGAAAAATGATAGTGTCACTCTGTAAGGCAAATCTGACTGGCCAGCTAATATCACTATGTGACATCTTGATCAGCTATCTACTTACAACAAGCAGGAAAGCCAACTCTGCAGAAATAAACAAGTGATGAAAATTACACTGGAAGTAAAAATCTAATGAACACATAAGAATTTAGGTTCTTCTTATCTGTTTTGCTTTTAGGGGTAGTAGTGTAAAGACCAACCATCAAAGGAAAGAGTAAATCCATTAAGGCAGTGGTCTGTTTCCTCAGCCACAGCGTTTCTAGGACCTAGAAGAATCTCTGGCCTATAGTAGGCACCCAATAAATATTTATTGAGTGAGTGAACAAATGAGTATTTAAGGAGAGTGGGAGTTAATTTCTTTGGTATGTACATTTTAGTACCAAGGATTCCAGGGAGCTATAGAGAACTATTCTCAATAATTTCAACATCAGTTCGGCCAGACTGGCTGTAAACATTATCTGATTTCCTGAAGACAACAAACATCACACTAGCCTTTAACTTATTCAGTTAAAAGTTACAGACTACCCTTGCATTCCTACACAGAACTTCCTTTTCTCTTAAGACAGAGGGTAGGGCATAAACTTAACCACAAGAAGAGAAACTGCTACAATGCTGGCAGTTATTTCTGACAAAATAACTTTAAAAGATTTGTACTTTTCCTTCTAGACTTTCATAGACATGATTTTTTAACCTGAAACAAATTTCATGAGAGTTTTAAAGGGTAAGAAATAAAACCAAAGATAAAAAGTATGCCAAGAGGTCTTGAAAAAGTTAAACAAAGAGTTACCATACTACTCGGGATTCCTAAGTATATACGTACTAAAAGAACTGAAAACATGTCCACATAAAAACCTGCACATGAATATTCTTAGCAACATTATTCATAATAGGCAAAAAGCGAAAATAATCCAACTGTCTATCAATTGGTAAATGGATAAATAAAATGTGGTTAGCCACACAATGAATATTATTCATCCATAAAAAGGAACTGAAGTACTGATACATGCTACACAATGGATGAATCTTGAAAACATTATGCTAAGTCAAAGAGGTCCGTCACAAGAGGCTACATAGTGTATGATTCCATTTATATGAAATGTCCAGAATAAGCAAATCCACGTAGAGACTGAAAGTAGTTTAGTGGTTGCCAGGGGCTGGAGGAGTGACAGCTAACGGGTGTGGAATTTCTTTTGGGGGTGATAAA